CTCAGGCAATCCACTCACCTCAGCCTCCCAAAGGCGTGGGATTACAGGCTGAGCCACCGAGCCTGGCTGCCCGGCTAATTTTATTGTAGAGATGAGGTCTCACCAAGTTGCCCAGGCAGGCCTCGAACCCACGGGCTCAGGCAGTCCACTCACCTCAGCCTCCCAAAGCGCTGGGATTACAGGCTGAGCCACCCAGCCTGGCTACTATGTAATTTCTTGTGTTTGCAGGTTCTTATTGTGGCCGGCTGCTACAGTAACAGCAGCAGTAAAAGGTAGAAGATAATAAGATACAGGGGACAAAGACATTACAGGCTGTTGGCAATTGAAGTCAATCACTACTACAATTGTAAATTGAAACTCAAATTTTTTGCAGACAAATTCAGGTCCACCTGTTTGCAGCATTTCACTTGCTAATTAGTACAATACCATACATGTTTGGTAGAATTACAGGGTGACAATGTACCAATTTTGCCATGTTTTATCTGCTGTATTTTTGGTATACAGACTTTGTATTTGTTCTCCAAATACCGTGAGAACTTCAAGACTCACTTCATAATAGAATCTCTTCATTTAATTTTGTGATTAATTAAATTCTACATTGTTTAAGAACAAGTAACTAAAGATATCAAAAAAGCATTTAAAATATTAAGCCCCACTCTGTGTTTTTCAAAAGTAGGAAAGTAATATCACTTAATAGGTTAGCTGCTACCTTGCACTTTCAGAGCACTTTAGAGTCATTCGTCTGTCTGAGCTCAGACAGTATTAGCGCTGTTGGTTAATAGATGAGAACTCTTTCCTCCCCCACCCCCCCATATTTTACTGTAGTTGAGTTCCAGAATTTATACTGAGCTTGCCAAACTATGCTGTGGTCTTGGTGGCCTAATAAAGATGCCTTTTAACAATGACTCCATCCCCACCAATCTTCTGAAAACTTTTAAAAATTAGAAACAAAGAATTATCACTTTTTGTGGTAGTGATAAAAATAAATCTAACTTGCAAATTTGTAAGAGAGTATAGCACACATGGAAAAAGATAAAACAATTACATATACAAAATGGTTAAATATTTCATAAAATTATATAAAGTCTTTAAGCAAATACAACTTTAATGTGCACCTAATTCATAGTTTTCCTTCTGGAGGAGAGATTATGAAATCCTCTACCTAAAATAATTTAATAATTACATTATATGTTCTAGGTATGTTTGTGGTTAACAAAGAGAAAGGAAAGAAACCATAGGTATTTTATTTCCTGTTTTTGTCATAATTAGTTATAAGGATAGCATCTCTGCAAATTACTGGTTAAGTTATTACTTGAACAGTAATCAAATTAGATGATGTTTGCAGGATCTTTATAATTTGATGAAGTAAAGGGTATAACAGTTCATTTTGCTGGTCTTTGTTTAAATGTAGAGCATCTTGAAGATTAATTCCAAAGCCCAATTTATTTTATTTGTGATTATTTTCAAGTATGTTTAATCCTACTCTTGTTTTTGAGCTTTCTAATACTGCATGAAATATTAATCATTCAGTGGTCTTAATGTAGATGTCTTCAGCACTACTGTAGAAAGTCATTGTCAGAGAATTCATTCTAATTCAAGGTTAATTAGTGTACCATTAAAATAATGTGTTACAAAAATTAATTGCATTGCAGGTCAGAAAATGTGTTAAAAAGCGTAGTGTAATGTCTGAGAGCACATCATCTTTCTTAAAACATTGCTATACGTGTTCTACTCTTCTGGAAAATATATCCAAAGTGAAAATCACTACTGAGGTCCAGTCATAGGTGTTTCTCCTAAAGTAAATTTTTGGCACCACACATGGGAAATTTAAAATATAACTCCCATTAACAGTAAAATGTGTTACTTGTCATCTTTACCATTGAAACAGCTAAGGATTTATATTTTATCTTTAGTTGACCATATTAGTAACCATATTGGGTCAAACCTAGGGAGAAATTAGGAACCTGGTTGAAAGAAATTTTCTGTACATCTTGTGGTGAAAGTACAAGACTTACTATGTCTTCCTACTTCCTATTAGGTAGGTCTGGTAAGTGCCCTATGTAAGTATGTCACACATTATCTTAACCATGTAGTAATTCTTAATAGTTTAACTTAGTAGCCTTAAAATGTACATTTACAATTAAACTCAAAATGATAGAAACTTTGATATTTTATCTGATTCTCTTAATGTAAAAGCTGTGAAACAGTTGCATTGAACTGTAGAATATTTTATTTGTTTGTATTTGTTCAGAGTCTCTCATTAAAGTATTTAATTGTTCATATAGAAGATTTTTGAATTAGTGCATTAGTAACAGCAGATCACATTAGAGCTACAGAAATTTTAACATAGGAAACTCTGCTCTGGTATTCAACATTACATTTTTTATTGGACTTTCAGAATTGTCTTTATTTTTAAAAACTTTTAGTGGGCTGTTAACAAAGTAAGATAAAATAGTTTTCCTGCTACAATGGATGGTGAATAATTTGCCCACATTCCAAGTTTTCTGCTTCCCTTTTAAGATTTTGTGTAAGCCTACTGAAAAACAGATATTCTCTGGAAAATAAAAGTAAATCAAGCAAAAAAAGAGGACAATTTGTAGAAAAGAAGTTTTCCTACTCTGTTTTTTTGTTTGAAGAATAGATCCTTGTTTAATTAGTTGAGCTAATAGGTGTGTGAAGAGAGTCTGAATGATAAAAAGAATGTAGGCAGGTTTAGAAAAGCTTCCTTGAAAAGTGCTTTTTACTTTAAAGCAATCCTTGTCCCAGCTTAATATCTATTTAAATCTTTTCTAAAATGAAATAAAGCAGGGATTTCAACTTAATGTAGAAAAACATTCCATTCTTTATAAATGACAACTCATTACCACTCTCAAAAAGTAGTGTTAAGCCATACATCACTCATTTCTCCAGAAAAGCCCTTAGCTTCTTGGGTTTTGTTTATTCTTTTGGACCAACTAGGCATCTCTCATTAACTAGGGCAGGATTTTCTGACAGTAGAAAATAGAAATAACACATGTAATAGTAAGTGAGTCTTTGATAGGTAAAGGTTAAAATTAATATTTCATATTTAGTACTTTGTCTCCTAATAGGTAATCATTCTCTTTTACAAGTGCCTTTCACAGCCAACTGATGATAGACACTAGTAGATTATACTAGTGTTTTTGAGGTATTTCAGAGTGTCAAGTTACAACAGTAAGGAGAAATGTTTATTTTCAAACTGGTTAAGTAGTTACTTTTTATGGAATAAACTTGAGGAAATTTAGATACAGTATATTTAGATTATGATTTCTACATAGGTTTAAGTGCTTATTTTTAATTCATATTATTTTTCACCAGAAGTGAACATAATAATTTAAGAAAACTATACTTTATAATTATAAAGTACAATTTACAAAGCATTTTATTGTAGCTCATTCATTCAACAAATGTTATTGATATTATTGTTATTACTGCCATTATCTTCACCTATAGGTGAGGGAACTGATTCAGCTGAAAGAAGTCATTGGGCTTCTTTCATAATGGATCCAGAAGTAGAACTCACAAGTTCCAGTTGATTGTTTATTGCTTTTCACATAGTACATTTTTGTATCAATCATTCTTAGAATAATTAGCCTATAATTTTGCATATCTATTTGTCTTTCTTAAAATACTACATCTTTAATATGGACCCACAACTGGTATAACAAATTCATTTACTTTTTTCTGTGTTTTTAGGGTAGAGCTCTACTTCATTGGGCATGTGATCGAGGACATAAGGACCTAGTCACAGTCTTGCTACAAAATAGAGCTGACATTAACAGTCAGGTAAGAGTGATATAGAGTCTATAGTATTGAGTGATCTATCACAGAAACAAAGAACTGAGTATCACATGTTCTTACTCATAAGTGGACTTGAACAATTATCATAATACTGTAAGAAAAGGATTGCCAGTAGTGGGAAACTGCCGGGGGTAGGGGAGTAGGATTGGCAGTAGTGGGAATCTGCCAGGGGAGTGGGGGGCATCCCTAATCAACAAGGGGACCTGCATAATGAACATTTGTACACCTAACCCTGAATTGTACCCCACATCTTTAAAATAAAAAATTTAAAAAAAAATTCCTGTTGACCACGGGCAGCTTGACATGGAGGGATGAGCCTGAATTTAAAGATAGTTCCACAGAGCCAAACTCAAGAGATTAAAAAAAAAAAAAAAAAGTGATTAAGAGGAGCTGTTATTTTTAATTGAAGTAAAATTCACATAACATAAAATTTACCAGATTAACTATTTTGAAGTGTACAATTCAATGACGGTACATTTCACAATGTTGTGCAACCATCACCACTATATAGTTCCATAATATTGTCATCACCCCAAAAGGAAATCCTGTACCTATTAAGTAGTTGCCTGCTGTTTTTCTCACTCACCCCAGACCTTGGAGACCACTAATCTGCTTTCTGGTTCCATGAATTTGCTTATTCTGGATATTTTATATAAAATGAATGATAAAATATGTGGTTCTTTGTGTCTGACTTCTTTTACTTAGCATAATGTTTTGAGGGTGTATCCATGTTGAAGCATTTATCAGAACCTCATTCATTTTTATTCCCGAATTGTATAGATATCTCTCATTTTGTTTATCCATTCATCAGTTGATGGGCACTTTTGGCAACTGTGAATAATGCTGCTATGAACATTTCTTTACATATGTTTTTCAGTTCTTTGGGTTATATACCTAGGAGTAGAATTACTGGTCATATGGTAATTTCCCTTAGGAGCTACACATATAACATTCTCACTGTCTATTATGATGCTAACGATTTCACCATGTCCTCACCAATATTCCTTATTTTCCCTTATTTTAGGATAGCCATTTTAGTAGATATGAGTTGATGGCTCATAGTGTATGATTTAGATTTTCATTTTTTAAATGACTAATGAGTATCTTTTCATGTACTTGTTCACTATTTGTATATCTTTTTTGGAGATGTGCTTATTTAAGTTTTTTGCTCATTTTAATATAAGTTGTTTGTTTTTTTGTTGTTGAGTTGTGAGAATGCTATAATTATATATTCTGGATACTAGCCCCTTATCACATATATGATTTGCAAATGTTTTCTCCCTTTTTGGGGTTTTCTTTTAACTTTCCTGATAGTATCCTTTGATGCACAAGGTTTTGATTTCGATGAAATGTAATTTATCAATTTTTTCTTCTTTTTTTTCTTATGTTTATGGTACCATACCTTAGGAATCATTGCCAAATCCAAGGTCACTAAGATTTACCCTACATTTTCTTTTATTATGGCGAGATATCCATAACATAAAATTTACTGTTTTAACCATTTTTAAGTGTGCTGTTCTGTAGCATTAAATAATTTACACTGTGTGCAACCATCACCACCACCCATCTCTAGAATTTTTTCATCTTCTCCAACTGAAATGCTGTAACCATTAAACACTGCTTTCTCAATCCTTCTTTCTCTCAATTCCTGCCAACCAACTATTTCACTTTCTATCTCTATGAATTTGACTACTCTAGATACTGCATATAAGTGAAATCATACAATATTTGTCACTTTATGACCAGCTTATTTCACTTAGCATAACATCATCAAAGTTTGCTCATATTGTAGCATGTGTCATAATTTCCTCCTCTTTTAAAGCAGAATAATATTTCATTGTATATGTTTACTACATTTAGTTTTTCAAATATTAATTAATGGGTACCTGTTTTGCATTCACTTTTTGGCTCTTATGAATAATGATGCTACGAACATAGGTATACCATTATCTATTCAAGTCCTTACTTTCTCTTCTTTCGAGTATATAACCAGAAGTAAAATTACTGGCTCATATGATAACTGTGTATTTAATTTTTTGAGGAATTACCATGCTGTTTCCCATAGCAGCTACACCATTTTACATTCCCACCAGCAGTACATATGTTCCCATTTCTCCATATCTTTGCCCATGCTTATTATTCTCCATGTTTTTGGTAATAACCATCCTAATGACTGATTGGATGCCTTTTATTTTATTTTCTTGCCTAATTGTTTTGCTAGAGCTTCCAGTAGTAGTCGTAAAAGTGAACATCCTTCTTCCAGAAGTTTGCTTTTTAATTTAGTATGTTAAATATAAAATGTTTTTTTCTTGACACAGTATTTGTTGCCATATATATCCATTCCACTTCAATGCCCCAGGCCTCATGGCTGTTTTTATCAAGTCTAAAATTTTCAGTTCTAACTATACTGTCCAGTTCATTCCACTTGAAAGCTCTTATTTAACTTCATAGTTCCCTGTCCCTTGACTGGTCCACCTTCCCACATTTCAGTTCATTTTGATCCACTCTCATGCTATTATATTCATTCCCATTCCCTGTTTTTCAGCTGTTATTAGCCACCTAGCAAAACTGTTTAATCCACCTGCCTGCTTTCTACACATCTACACCTGGATTTTGGTAAAAGCTAAAAAAAAAAAAAAAAAAGTATAATTATCATAAATTATGGTAATACCATCAGTAAATTTTTTTTTAGTTTTTAATTTTAATTTTTTAAAATTTCTAGAATGTCTCCTATATCACAAAAAAAGTAGAAGAAATCTTTGTCACCAACCCAGATCCCAGCCAGTAGCCCCAGACACATATATCTCTCTTCTTTGATGTCTCTCAGATTCTTCAAACAGCACCTAACACTGAACTCAACCATCTCTTAACAACTGTCCACCTCTTCCTGCTCCCATTCACCATAATTGACACCATCATCCAGCGAGGCTCCCAGGAGGCGTCCTTGATTATTTTCTCATCTTCATACCCACTTAAGTCTTGTAGGTTCTACCTCCTAAGCAATTTTAGACTCTCAAGTCTACCTGCTTACCTATTTCAACATTGACATTACACTAGTTCTTAGATTATTTCAACAGCTCTGAAGTGTATCCCTATTTTTAACCTTTACATCCTATATTATAATCCCCACATTTCATTTATGGAGGTTTCTAAAATGCAAACTTACCAATGTTTTCTTGGTTTTTTTTTTTTGAGTTGGAGTCTCACTCCATCACCCCGACTGGAATGCAGTGGCATGCTCCCGGCCACTGCAGCCTCACCCTCCTGGGCTCCAGTGATCCTTCCGCCTCAGCTTTCCAAGTAGCTGGAACCACAGGCGCACGCTACCACACTCCACTAATTTTTTTTTTTTTGATTTATTGTAGAGATGGGGTCTTGTCAAGTTGCCCAGGTTGGTCTCGAACCTGTGGGCTCAGGCAATCCACTCACCTCAGCCTCCCAAAGTGCGGGATTACAGGCTGAGCCACCGAGCCCGGCTATTGTTTTCTTGTTTACTTTTATTTTTCTAAGATAAAATTTTAATATAATTTGCCCTGTAATGCCATTCATGATCTGGGCCTTATTATGTCTCTACTAATTTCTCAGTACACTCTTGCTTATGTACTAGTTCTAGTACTCTAAGCTCCACTAGTTCTAAAGAACCTGTGGCATGTCTATTTGTATTATTTGTGTCTCACTTCTTGGCCTTTATACTGTTTTCTTTCTCCTTTGTTCTGTCTCCTAGGCCTCAGCTTACATACCATTTCCTCTAAGAAGCCTTTCTTTGTTGTAATCAATTAGACATCTTCACTGTCTCCTGTACTCATAGCTCCTTATTCCTAAGCTCAGCAAAGAGTTATCACAGCACAATCACTTTTTATTATAATTGGCTGTTTACATGTCTCTATCCTCAATACCACCATATACAAGTACCAGAGTTGGGTTGTATCACTAGTACATAGCATAATATCTGACATATAGTAGGTGCTCAGTAATTAAATGTTGAATAAAGTAAGATCAGCTCATAAGGAAACTGGCAAAGTGTTAGAAAAATAGAAGATGAGCACCAGAAAGGACCTAAACATTACCAAAACCTTTGGGATATCTTTGTTGTTTTATCGGAAGAAATGTGTCTTTTCCCATTAGACATCTGTGCCTTTTTCTTGGGCTATTTCCCTGGCTTTACATCATAAGGGCAAACCATACCCTTATACCATAATCTTACTTTGAAAAACTTATTATGTTCTTGATTAAAAACATAAAAAGTAGTATGTACACAAAGAAAAAAACTCAAAAGAACAAAAGCTGTAATTTTTAAAGACTCTTCCTTCTTTCCTTGTTTCCCAGTCACCCTGTTCAACTCTCCAGAGGCACTATCTACTGCCAGTTTTCCATGTATCTTTACGGGACAGACATATGCAGTAGCAATGTAATAGCAAATGAGATACACTGTTCTGTAACTTGTTTAACAGTTTATCTTAGAGATTGTTCTATACTAGTATATGTAGTCCTGCTATATTCTTTTTAATGACTGTGTAATACTCATTTATAGAGAATGTATTATAATTTAGTTAACTGGAACCGTATAAATGGACTATACCAATTTATACTTCCACCACCAGTGTACGAGATAATTTTTTTTTCCTCCAACCTTACCAAAATAGTTTGTCATAACACTTCTTGTTCTCTGCCTGTTTGGTAAATGATGAGTATATATCATATTTTTAATTTGTATTTATCTTGTTAAGAGTGATACTGAGCAATTTTTTGTATATTTAAGAATGACTTCTATTTTATTTTCTGTGACTTACCTATTTAGGTGTATTGCCCAGTTTTCAATTTTATTGATTTTTTTCATAATTTATAGGAGTTTTTTATATATTAAGGACTATTTATACTTTCTTTGTGATATAATTGTTAAAACCATTCCCATGTTTTCTTCTAGTACTCATCATTTCTTTTTATTTTTTTTTACCATCTAGAATTACTTTGTATCTTGAGTATAT